TCTTTGAACACAGGAATAAATTCAAGGTGGCAATCTGAATCACTTGCAAGGACCCACACTCTCTACGGGCCCCTCCACCCTATGGGCCCCAGTGCAACCGCACTGCCTGCACTGTCATTGTCACTGTCACTGTCATTGAATTCCTGTTTTTACTGTTGCTTTTGGACTGTAAGAATTTATTTGTCTCAAAAACAAATACAAAAGGTTGGGTTATGAGTAGTCACAAACTACTGGTATTGGCCAAGTTGCAGGAGCGGAAATCCCGGGGGGGACAGGGGGGACATGACTCCCCCTTCAGTAAAGCTGTACCCCTCTAGAATCATTTGAGACACAATTAATAATTTTTGAACAATGCAGTAGTATTTATTGAAAGCACAATGTAAGCGGTGCTCATTATAATCGCGCAATAATGTGCTATTTAAATATTAAAAGATTTAGTCCCCCCCTCCCATTCCTAGTAGTGGTATATCCCACACTCTTTCCAACGGGCGGGGCTGCTTGGAAGCAGTAGCAGCGTGTGGTTGGAACCTGCTGCCCACATCGCGCATCGCAGGGTAAGATGTACACTCACACAGACACAGTTTAACTTAGGCTACACATGTTACAACACATCCCATTTACTGTTACAACAAGCCCCAGGCCCAGGCTGATAATGTAAACTGTCTGCAACATTTCTCCTGCATTGTTCAAAAGCCTACTCAATTATGAGTGCTGCTAAGCTAAAAGCTAATGATTAAGCTCAGAGTTTAGTGATAGAGAGGACAAGAGAGAAAGAAGAAGGAGAGGACAGGACAAGAGCAGTCAGTGGCAGAGCGGCTCGTAGCTAATGGGTACCTGTCTGTAGGCTCTCCACCTGTCAGTGAGACAAACATGAATGACGTGCAGTCTAACTGACAAGGAGCGGTCATTACGTGCGACTATTACGCACGGTTGTGGCAGAGCAGCTCGTATGGGTACCTGTCTGTAGGCTCTCCACCTGTCAGTGAGACAATCATGAAAGACGTGCAGACGAGGAGCGGTCATTACGCGCGACTATTACGCAGATCTCACAGCACACTGTTTATAAACCAGTTTACCAGTTTAATTGCAGGAAATGTTTAGTTTTAGTTTTAGTTTAGTTAGTATAGACATTCACTCTGCCTGTTGGAGAGATAGAGAGAAGATTAAAGCATCAAATTACGGTAAAAGATGCTGTATAAAAGACAGGCTACACCTTTTTTTCCTTGTCCCCCCCCCCGGAATTATTCTCTAAAATTTTACTGTTTATTGTCCCCCCCAACTATGAAATGGGATTTTCGCCCCTGCCAAGTTTGTATGGTAAATGCGCAGTTTCATATGATGCAGGCCTCTATTTCAGTTGCAATGTCTGGCCTTTGAAAAAAAAATACCACAATTAGAAATCACTTGACCCTGATGGGCCACAGCGATGTAACTGAATATCTGCATGGATCCATATGGCAAAAATGATAGATGTGCGCAGCCACAGATAATGTTTTCAGTTGACATCACTCAGTCTAACATTACAGGCAGAATCTTGACCAGGCATAAGTTTAACAACTTAAACTGTTAAACTTGTGTTTCACAGCTAATCCCTACAGTCTGTGCAGTGCAGAAAGGTAGACTAACCCTTACCAGACCCACATTTTTGTTTGAATGTTCATATCTGACACTATTATTTATGTAATATTTATTTACATGGCATATCACAGCGGTGGGCTTCAAACAGTTCAAAAAACGTATTTTGGTTAAAAAAAATAAAAAATAAGAGAGAGAATAGCTGTTTTACAATGCCTGTTATTCCGCCTCGCCTTTCTGTAGAGGGTAGAATCATGGAATGGGGCATCACAGTGGTTTTGCCTTTAATCCACCAGAGGAGGTAATAACAGCTCCAAAATGGTGTCTGTATAAACAGGACAGCCGACAGGACAAGACCACGGGGAGAACAGTTGTGATGTTTTGGCAAAGTGTTGTGTGTGCGACCCACCACAGAAGATTTAAAAAGCAGCTGATAGCAGTCAGCAGCTAACTGAAAGAAGAAGAACAGTGGCCAACACTTTCCACAAATTGGGAAAACAATGAGGTCCAAGAGCTTCTTACCCTCCAAGCAGAGAGCAAGATCAGCTGCCGCTGTAGTGTTAAATGTCAAGCCCGTCATGCCTCTTTTGGTTCTGTGATGCTGGCATACTGTTTAAAATCCCACAGTGGAGCAGCACGATGCTGCTGTTGGATGCACTGCCAAATTCACTGAAACAACACTGGAGATGGCTGCAACAGCTCTGGTAGACATTTCTGCAGTCTGCATGCTAATGCAATGCTCCCTCACAACGTGTGACATCTGTGGCATTGTGTTTGTGTGATCAAACTGCATATTTTAGAGTGGCCTTTTATTGTGACCATCCCATGGTACACCTGTGTAATGATCATGCAGTTTACTCATGTATTAGTTTTTTTCAACTCATGAAAATGGGAGCAAAAACCAAAGTGCTGCATTTCCATTTTTATTGAGTATAGACTGTAAGGATATAATGGCGGCTTCAACAGAAAAAGACGATTTTTAAAAAAGTCACCAAGAACAACTTTAACCATGATGATACAATTCCTTTAGTGCAATTATGCTGTCAGTAATTTATTCATAATCTCTGTCAGTCTGACAACTGAATGGTGTGTATTTAGCCATCACATTAACTTCTATGTTTTCTTTTAAAGATTATTTTTATGGGCTTTTTGCCTTTAATGGACAGGACAGTGTGTGAAATGGGGAGAGAGAGCGTGGGGAGTGACACACAGCAAAGGGCCGCAGGCCGGAATCGCCTCTGTACATGGGGCACCGGCACTATCCACTACGCTACCGATGCCGCGACTTATATGTTTTCTTTTGACTCCCTATTGCACCTTGCATAACTGATAATGGACATCAAAATTAAATGAGTAAAATGTGTTTGGTTATGTAACCTATTTGTAGTGGGTTGGTCGGCATTGAAAAGGCTAAAAAAGATCATGTGTAAACTGCCACAAGAGCTCTTTATAGTACATTATGGTATCTACAACACATGGGAGGGGTGTAATCAATGTTATTGTGATATTTTGCTGGCAACATGGGAGGATGAGAATACAAGACATGGTCATTTTGTTAACAAAATGCAGGACAAAAGATTTAAAATTATATTTCCCTTTATTTACAATCAAGAAACCAAAATATAGTATCTATATTGATTTTCATGTGTGGCTGGGACAATTGTCTTGTGAGTCAATAATCAGGCAAGTGCACAGATAGACTCCAGGTGGTGCTTAAGTACCTGCCCTTTGCCCTCTGTCTAGATAAGTGCCATTTTTGCAAGATGCATTTTTTAATTTCTTTTAATAACATCATATTTTAGTTTTTTAAATCTGGCCCAAGGCATCAATTCTCAATTTAAAGTGTGTTGTGTGCCCGACAACTGCATCTGAGTCTATCCCCTGACCCTCCCTCTTCAACTTCCCTTGTGGCAGCCGCACGCAAATTGAGCCCCTTGCGAAGTAGCTTCACGTCTCTCTGACCTGCCTTCATGGACAGCCAGGTAACAATAGTGTTTGCCCTAAGCCTCAACATTCTTTATCTCTGTTGTGAAAGTAAACCACTATTAAAACATCTCAATACAGCCAGTCTAATTTAGGCAATAACCCATCATTAAGTTTAACAACACGTAAGCTCGTCTGATGTAAAACCACACCGTTTTACTCCAACTCTGTCAGATTTGGGTTCACCAGCTGCCTGGTGGGGGGGCAGAATGCACTTTAAGTCTGATTGTTATAACTAAACATAAGCCTGATTTATAGTTTGGAGGGTAGATTGGTTTGTTGATTATTTATTCAGAGACCAGTATTTATCAATTATCAGTTTTTCTACGTGAGCACCTGCCCTGCAAATGTCTGTGCATGGTACTGGTCAATTTAACTCATTATAAGAGACTGCCATGTGTATGTCAGCATTTCACTATATATCAATGTTGGTATCCAGACAAATGCATGAATGATAAATCATAATTAACCAAATAATTAAAAGGCAATAATAATTACATTTCTGTTGCATTAAACAGCATGGATGAGTACAAGCTATGTAAAAAAAAAATCTACATCATCTTGTGTTTACAGAAACAATGCACTGGTCATTCTGGACAACCCACAAACATCACTGTCAACACTTTCCTTTGGAAAACCTATAGAAAACTGTTGACTGCAAATTCTGTGGATTCTGAGTGACAGGCACAGTATTTATTTAAAAGGCATTGCGGTAGAATTTGAATGTAATTTTCACTGCTACAGCACCACGAACCAAATCAAATAATAGTTAAATTATTTGGTTTTGTGAATATAAACGAAATACTTTCTTGTTTTTATGTCATATTGTAAAACCATTTCCCTCGGACTGATCTTATTATTACGGTGGAATCACAGAGTTTAAACACAGGCCTAGATGGAGCGGCACACAGGCTGATGAAAGCGCCTGAAAACCATGGCGCGGCTGACTCAGTGGAAAAGAGGCAACAGTGACAGACACACTCCCAGTGTTATACCGCTGCAATAACCGGCTTCACATCTCAGGCTTCACAGACACACTCCACAAACAGAGCCACCATAGGCGTGGTGCAGCTTTCTAAAGCTGTGTAAAAGAGACTACATTTCAGAGTAAAAGATGGCTGTTGCGACAGACGACAGGCCGGGTGCATCCTGTCCGCTGCTGCATGGGAAGCTCAGTGACACTGCACTGCCAGGAGAAATAACAGCGTCTCAACCCGGTGATTTCATTACTGTGCCATCCATCGCTAAATATGACGCACTGATCATTGGAAACAGACTCTTATCAGACTTGATTGACAAGATCAAGTCATGGGCGCGTTTGTCAGCCATTTATTTGAATGGACGACGCTAATTCATCCTCCCTTATTGAGCCTCATCAAACATCTCTCGATTTCACGACCTACAACTAAACTAAAAGAATACAAATTAAATCAAATACAAACCTGTTTGTATGAAGAGAATCCGATGTTCAACCTTCCGTCTGTGTGGGCTCTGGCTGCTGCTGCGCTCTCACGCCTCTGTTCCGTCAACAGGAGCATCAGGAACACTTCCGGTCTAGTTTTCACATAAAAAGCCATTGGACATTCCTCACAGTATTTTTCGATGGTAATAATAAGCTACACTTTCCACGAGTCTCTTTATTTATAAATTTGTCCAGTTGCTGTATATTCCTGGTTACGTATGGTGCCCCATTTCTATCATTAAACGAAAAAAAGATGAAGAATTATGATAATCATGATTAAAGATAAAGTCAACAGCAAACAGTCTATTATGAGACAGTATTTCATAATTATGAAATATGTCAAATGATGAGATAAAAATCAAATTTTTAGATTTCAGACAAAATTCTGAAAATAAAAAGGCAAAATTTTGAAATTAAGTTTTTCTAAAGTGCACATGAGCGCTGGTAGCAATGTGGCTTCCTTTCCCTTTCCTTTCTTTCTCTCTCTTCCTTTTCTTTTTTGTAACCCTGATTCAGTGTATGGACAGTGTATGTTGGTGCCCCAGCAGCTTACGCAGTCACTCACTTGACTTTAACTGCATTTAAGCCCCATTTCCACCAAACACTTTCGGTATAGTACCTTTGGAACCAAAAGTTATCCTTCAGACATGGTACCTAGACCCTAGGTCCGTTTAGCATTTCCACCGCAAACAGTACTCTTAAATGTGGGCTGGGTTGTTGTCACTCACTTCTCAATTATTTTTTTCTCAGTCTACAGCTACTGTGAGAGGCAGCAAAACATCCTTTCATTTTATAGGCTAGTTATAGTAATAATAATTATATACAGTATATATATATATATACAGTACAGGCCAAAAGTTTGGACACACCTTCTCATTCAATGCGTTTTCTTTATTTTCATGACTATTTACATTGTAGATTCTCACTGAAGGCATCAAAACTATGAATGAACACATGTGGAGTTATGTACTTAACAAAAAAAGGTGAAATAACTGAAAACATGTTTTATATTCTAGTTTCTTCAAAATAGCCACCCTTTGCTCTGATTACTGCTTTGCACACTCTTGGCATTCTCTCCATGAGCTTCAAGAGGTAGTCACCTGAAATGGTTTCCACTTCACAGGTGTGCCTTATCAGGGTTAATTAGTGGAATTTCTTGCTTTATCAATGGGGTTGGGACCATCAGTTGTGTTGTGCAGAAGTCAGGTTAATACACAGCCGACAGCCCTATTGGACAACTGTTAAAATTCATATTATGGCAAGAACCAATCAGCTAACTAAAGAAAAACGAGAGGCCATCATTACTTTAAGAAATGAAGGTCAGTCAGTCTGGAAAATTGCAAAAACTTTAAATGTGTCCCCAAGTGGAGTCGCAAAAACCATCAAGCGCTACAACAAAACTGGCACACATGAGGACCGACCCAGGAAAGGAAGACCAAGAGTCACCTCTGCTTCTGAGGATAAGTTCATCCGAGTCACCAGCCTCAGAAATGGCAAGTTAACAGCAGCTCAGATCAGAGACCAGATGAATGCAACACAGAGTTCTAGCAACAGACCCATCTCTAGAACAACTGTTAAGAGGAGACTGCGCGAATCAGGCCTTCATGGTCAAATAGCTGCTAGGAAACCACTGCTAAGGAGAGGCAACAAGCAGAAGAGATTTGTTTGGGCCAAGAAACACAAGGAATGGACATTAGACCAGTGGAAATCTGTGCTTTGGTCTGATGAGTCCAAATTTGAGATATTTGGTTCCAACCGCCGTGTCTTTGTGAGACGCAGAAAAGGTGAACGGATGGATTCCACATGCCTGGTTCCCACTGTGAAGCATGGAGGAGGAGGTGTGATGGTGTGGGGGTGTTTTGCTGGTGACACTGTTGGGGATTTATTCAAAATTGAAGGCACACTGAACCAGCATGGCTACCACAGCATCCTGCAGCGACATGCCATCCCATCCAGTTTGCGTTTAGTTGGACGATCATTTATTTTTCAACAGGACAATGACCCCAAACACACCTCCAGGCTGTGTAAGGGCTATTTGACCAAGAAGGAGAGTGATGGAGTGCTGCGGCAGATGACCTGGCCTCCACAGTCACCGGACCTGAACCCAATCGAGATGGTTTGGGGTGAGCTGGACCGCAGAGTGAAGGCAAAGGGGCCAACAAGTGCTAAACACCTCTGGGAACTCCTTCAAGACTGTTGGAAAACCATTTCAGGTGATACACCATATGCAATTATAAACCTTATGCATTAAATTTTTACCTATATCAACATGATGGGCCATAGTTTACTGCTAACTGAGCACACTCACTGAAACACTTAAAGCTAACTAACTTGCACTTGCCTTTTTACCTTTACTATCTGTCTGAATGCTGCTTAGTGTTGAAAATCTTAAAATGATATTAACTCTGCTTGACCACTAGACAACTCCAAACCTAAAGTATTATATAAAATATCTAATGCACATCTAATGGAAGAAAAAGAAATGCAACAAAAGATTATATTAAGATTTTATATTTATTCTCTAAATTAGAATTTGTAACAAGCCATGTAAGGTGGAAAACAACTTAAATGCAGAAAAGAATCCTTAAAACAAAACTTAAAACTCTAAACTATTCTAACCAGTAACTAATAAATAGGACTAATGTACGCATTCGAATCCAAACAAAATGAACCAGGTAAAAACTGCAATAAATAATAAGAAAATAACATTAACATTCAACATTAACATTTCTGTCTGTTACTTCATATCAGTGTCTTAATCATTATATCTAAAAATCATAAATGAGTTCAATTGTTGTAAACAAAGACAATATTAATTTGGAGATATAGTTTATGTACCAGAAACATCTGTAGAGGTGTCCTCTGTGGATGAACCAGGAGTTGGAGTATTGTCATCTCCAGCTGCTGTGTGAGAATATAAATAGAACATGCATAACATGCAGAGTAGATAAAACATAAGCAATTATACCCAGTAACATCCATAAACAAGAGGACAACACAGTGAATTGTAAATTTAAAAAAAAAAATCACTTACCAGTGCTTTTGTCCTCTCTAGTTCCACCACCACCAAAATATTTGAGTATTGCTCCTTCTGAAAAAGTGAGATATTAATTACTTTATTTACTTATTCATTTATTTATTTCAATAACAATTACTGTAAACAGAAAATAATGCTAAAAGAAAATGTATGTAGGGGTAACTAATATTATTTACTAATACAGCTTTAGTTTAGTATGATTTTTTTAATCCTTTCATACCATTCATATTCTGACCTTCACAGTATAGAGCAGGTAGTTTTTGACCCTTTGTTATAAGACACTATCAAGAAATATGAACCACAGATATGTTGTGCATCCCGACCAACACTGCTTTTAATTTCTTCCATGAATTATACTGAAAGTGAAGGATGTAACAACCTTGCTGAATGATAGGTTTCACCATAATCATTTGAAACTCTACACTGCGTGAGAACTGGTCTGTAAAATTCAAACAGACACTGCAAAAACACATATTGCACATGCTAACCTAATCACCCATTCTGGTAAGTGATAAACGTTGCTGTACTTGACTTTATCTTGAGCTTGTTTGTTTGCCTGTTTGACCTCTTTTTCGTCCTCTTCTCCACTCCTGAGGGATATGCCCACTTCAACATCTTCGTAGACGGTACTGCGCATGCTCTGTTCAGTGAACGGCACCTGCCCGCTGGTCTGTAGGGTCCCCGCCCTGCTACAGGTCACATTATGTATGTTGGAGGTCACGGTGTGATGGAGCCAACAGAACCACATCATCTGCAAAAAGCAGAGATGAAATTCTGAGGTCTCCAAACCGGACCCCTTCCTCCCCACGGCTGCGTCTCGAGATCCTGTCCATGAAAATTACAAACAGGATTGGTGACAAGGGACAACCTTGGTGGAGGCCAACACCCACTGAGAACATGTTTGACTTTACACCAAGTATGGGGACACAGCTCTAACTTTGGTCATACAGGGACCGGATGGCTCATAGCAGCGAACCTGGTACCCCGCACTCCCGCAGTACCCCCCGAGGGACACAGTCGTAAGCCTTCTCCAAGTCCACAAAGCACATGTAGACTGGATGGGCAAACTCCCACGACCCCTCCAGCAGCCTTGCAAGGGTAAAGAATTGGTCCACTGTTCCATGGCCAGGATGGAATCCGCATTGCTCCTCCTGGATCTGAGGTTCGACAGTTGGTCGGAGCCTCCTTTCCAGCACCCTGGAGTAAACTTTACTTGGGAGGCTGAGCAGGGTGAGACCCCGATAGTTGGAGCACACCCTCCGGTCCCGTTTTTTGAAGATAGGGACCACCTACCTGGTCTGTCACTCTGCAGGCACTGTACCTGACCTCCATGCAACATTGAATAGGCGTGCAGCCAAGACAGCCCAACAGTGTCCAGAGCCTTCAGCATCTCAGTTCCCAGTTCACCCTCACTACACGTTTGGGTTTACCAGGTCTGTCCGGCAGCCTCTGCATTTCTGTCTCTTTTCACGCGTCACGCAAATTGAGACCATGGCCCGCCAGTGCTGGACTGGCCATCGGGCATACCGGGTATTTGCCCGGTGGACCGATGGTAATTTTGGGCCGGGCCTTTTTTTTTTTTTTTTTTTTTTACTTTTAGTCATATTATGATACCTATTGGTACACAAAACTGGTAGATCGGCCCATTAGTCATGATTGATTCTGGGCTGGACCAATTACAGCTGAGGGTCGATGCCCCCTCCCACTTGTGCCTCGGCTGCCAATCAATCATACAGAGAGAGAGGAGATTGACAAAATTGAGAAGAAACTCAAAGGAGGTGCGGAAAAAATAAGAGAGAAAAAGAGACAAGCCCTTTAGGAAGATGCTGCCAAATGTGTTAAAATAACACAGATGTTTGCTGGCTATGGCAGAGCTTCTTCAGCGGCAGCATCAGTGACCGCACCCGCACTGGCATCCAAAGCAGCCATAGCAGCAGCAGGTGGATGAGGCGAGGGGGAGGCAGGAGGAGGAGCTGCGGCCGCCGCATTATATGACGACGGCACAGGCGGTGCGACTGGAG